GGCCCGGCAGCGCGTGTCGCCCTCTCGCGGTGAGCCGTTAGGCGTCGTGCGGCGAGGTCAGGAACGGGTCCTGATGGACAACGACCTCTGGAGACCGGTAGCGGGGCCGGGACATCTCGGGAGACGTTAGAGCTGGTTGTGCCAAGAGCTGTGCCTGCAGCCCCGGGCACAGCGCACGCTAACAGCCTCCGCTGGGGGAGGGCTTTGCATGTTTGGAATAGAACGGAGGGTTTGTGGCCAGAGCTTCAGGGTCAGGGGAAGGGTGGGATGGGAGAAAGAGAGGAAGGCGGGGCCCGTTATGCAGGGCCTTTCAGGCTGGGAAGGAGTGTTAACAGGGATGGACATGATCTTACATTTTAAAAAGATCTACCGGATTCTGTGTAGATGAGAATGGATTAGAGTCTCCAGCAGGTGGAGCAAAATTTCAAATTAGTTAATAGCGAATCAATAGAGTGAAGATCCTTTGTTTGTTCTATTACTTCAGAATCAGTTGTATTAATGTGAACATGTTTACCCTGAGCTTCTGCATAGCAGTTCTTCATGTACTTGAAGACATTAAGCCCCTCCCGTGGTCGGCAAACTGCGGCTCGCGAGCCACATGTGGCTCTTTGGCCCCTTGAGTGTGGCTCTTCCACAAAATACCACGTGCAGGTGCGCACGTACAGTGGGATTGAAACTTCGTGGCCCATGCGCAGAACTTGGTATTTTGTGGAAGAGCCGGTATTTTAGACGGTCTAGCGGCCCAGTGATGGGGAACCTTTTGAGTTCGGCGTGTCAGCATTTTGAAAAACCCTAACTTAACTCTGGTGCCGTGTCACATATAGAAATTTTTTGATATTTGCAACCATAGTAAAACAAAGACGTATATTTTTGATATTTATTTTATATATTTAAATGCCATTTAACAAAGAAAAATCAACCCAAAAAATGAGTTCGCGTGTCAGAACCTGTGTCATTGGTTCGCCATCACTGGACTCTAGCCCATCCAGCTTAATCTTTTTCAGAATACATTTCTAGTATTTTTGCTTTTTATGAAACTCTATTTTATGTTTTTACTTGTTTCAATGTTTTCGGAAAAATCTTTAAAATTTTTCTTAATTTGGGTGAAATTCATGTAACATAAAATTAGCCATTTCCAAGTGAACAATTCCGTGGCATTAAGTACAATAACACTGTTCCAAAGCATTGGAATCCCTCCAAAGTAAATCCTGTATCCATTAAGCAGGTGCTCCTTGTTCTGTATGGATTTGCCTAGTCTGGACATTTCATAGAATTAGAATCCTAAAATATGTAACCTGTTGTGTCTGGCCTCTTTCATTTAGATACCATGAGACACTAACTAGCAAAGGGGGGAACAAATCAGGAGTCACACAAAAGCGCTGTATTGGGCAGTTGGGAAAGTGGCAGGTTCACCGTGGGAATCTCAGGAAACCAGGACTTTCCTGTCTGTTGTCAATGAGCCTCAGTTTTATGAGAAACCCCGGGTACACAAACACAGCAGCCAGCTATAGAGGGAAATTTCCACTGCACTCAGGAGTGGTGCCAAACATAATTCAGAAGCCTCTGGGACAGTGGCTGTCAAGAGCCCTGTGCCTTTCAAGAGAAGATGGAAGATCTGCTGACCTCATAAGGCTTCTCCAGTTCTTCTAGGACAGTGATGGCGAACCTTTTGGCTCGGCGTGTCAGCATTTTGAAAAACCCTAACTTAACTCTGGTGCTGTGTCACATATAGAAATTTTTTGATATTTGCAACCATAGTAAAACAAAGATTTATATTTTTGATACTTTTTTATATATTTAAATGCCATTTAACAAAGAAAAATCAACCAAAAAATGAGTTCGCATGTCACCTCTGACAAGGGTGTCATAGGTTCGCCATCACTGTTCTAGGAGCTTGGCAGAGACAGCTGTTGAGGCAAAAGGGACAAGTCAACGCCCATGGAAGTGGAATGAAGAGGGGTGTGAGGACAGTGGAGGGCCGACACAGCTAAAAATTGGACGGCAAGCAGCCAGTCCTGGAAACTGGGAGGTCTGGCACTTACCGCCTGCTCCAGAGCCACTTGTTTGAGGACCTCTCTGCACGTATCCTGGTACTGATCACTTATTAGCAAACAGCTCCCCCAAGCTAGGCCTTGTCTTCTAGCTATAAATTGAATGCTTCCTGTTCCCTCACTGTTGGGGGTACACTGGGATAAAACGTATAGTGGAACCCAACATAAAGCCACTCAGTTGGCCATGTGCAGATTATACATATAGGAGAAAGTAGTACCTAAACCCGTATGTTGTCTGGGTAGTCTAGGGGATTTTGTTTCAAGTTGTGAAATTGGAAGGCCAAAGTCAGGTATGTTACTATCACCAAAGTAATGAATTATCTGAGTAGATGTTATATCTAGAGTTTGTCAGTAGAACATAAAAGAATGAAGGTGAGCCATAACCGGTTTGGCTCAGTGGATAGAGCGTCGGCCTGCAGACTGAAGGGTCCCAGGTTTGATTCCAGTCAAGGGCATGTACCTTGGTTGCGGGCACATCCCCAGTAGGGGGTGTGCAGGAGGCAGCTGATCAATTTTCTCTCTCATCGATGTTTCTAACTCTCTATCCCTCTCCCTTCCTCTCTGTAAAAAATCAATAAAAAATATTTTTAAAAAAAGAATGAAGGTGACATTGGCCTGGGGAATGAATACTGCATTCTCTGTGGAAGGTGGGTGATGTCCTAGAA